GACACGACCGAAACGTAAACACGTAGTTAGGTAACCACACCCCTCCCCTCCACTACCCACCCCCCACCCCCCCCCCACCACCAAAAACCCTCAAAGTTAATCTTGACAAATATTTACAAAGGATTCGTACAACCAAATCCTCCTAATTTCGGATTGAGGTATAGTTGATAGTCTCGCAATGCCCCTAAGGTCGAGGCTCGAGGCCAATAACAAAGACAATCACTATGTTGTTGTATTCATACAGCCAAACTGCAGGCAGCTAGCAATTTTCCAAACTAGTCAAGCAGCAACAACATACCCAGTGTATTCCCATAAGTGGGGTCTGGGGAGGATAGAATGTACGCAGTCCTTACCCTTGCCTTGTGAAGGTAGAGAGATTGTTTCCGGAAAACTAATCAAGCAGGTAATTGGAAAAAATAATACAGTACATAAACAGTGAACATGTTGAAGATGTCGGATATGATTCATTTGACAACAACAGTTCCTAGAAAGTCAATAATGGCCATCTTTAGATGTCTAAAAGGAGCTGTTCAAAGAATGTACAACAATGCAAACTGGAAAGGCCAAAGTCAAGAAACTACCTTGACAAACTCACCATCCACCAAAAAGACAGAATTAATTTAAATCTTCCAGGGACAGTGCCATCCACACTGGTAGATGTCGCTAAAAGCTTTTTACTTAAAACCATGGAAAATCTACTTTATCCTATATTATATACTTAGTGTCAAATTGGTCTGATATGTAACAGGATTCTCATACCATGTTTCTTCTTCTGCCAAAACAATCAGCTTTGTCGACGAATAAAGTTTCTGTCCCATTTGAAGATGAAAAAGAGACTGCAAGAAATCGGATGAAGTACCATGTAGATAAGGAAGCTGAATGAGTGATGAAAGTTGGGAAAGTACACCAAACTCAATGCTCATAATTCTTTTGATTGCTCCTGTGATCTGTATATACGAAATGCAGCGACGCACATTGTGGCATTACCAAGAACTGTCAAAGCTGCTTGTAGAGCCACTAATACCTGAAACTCATGCATCCAATGCATGTCATTTATAGCGCAAAAAAAGAAAGAAAGAAAAAGAGAAGATAAGTATTGTCGAAGAATACCAAGAAATGCTTCGAATGGGAAAAGTTGGAATAGAACTGGAGACAAGATGCATGCTTATTGCCTTATATTTGAATGACCAGTTCTTGTAAATATATCAAAGTCGGGTTAAATTAGGAATACTTGAAAGAAGAAATATGTTCTACTATTTCCAGCAAACAAGTGAAAGTGGAAGGGAAATCAACAAAATTATTTAGAGCATTAACCTAGTACTTTCCACTTTTTTGAAACTTTGGTGAGTGAAGGTATTAAAAGAGAACGAGGTAGACCTAAAATCACAAGGAAGAAAATTGCCTCGAAAGACCTATAATTTCTTGGAAACAATGCAGACTTAGCTAAAGATAGGGGCAAATGAAGAAAAAGATCCACATCGGTTTTGGTCTTGCTAGTATGTTGATTTTGAACCTATTGCTTTTCTAGGAGTATTTTGATCTTCTAATAGATTTATATGCCAGTAAAACTGTAAAAGTATAAAGAACTTTTGATATGACTATTACATTACAATTATATATATATATATATATATATATATATATATATATATATATATATATATATATAAAACTTATTTTTCACTTTTATATTTATTTGGTATTATGATGACATGAATTGAGCTTAAATGGAGAAACATGGTCAATGAGTATTCTTATAGCTAATTCACTTGTTTGGACTGAGGCGAAGTTGTTGTTGTGTCTCTTTGTTTTTTTCTGGTTCAAGCATTTTCATCCAGATTAGTTGCTGGTACATTTACAAGTTTATCACAACTGTTATTATATCAACTCTCAATGGTGTGTGTAACCACTAGTCTAAACTCAGACTCACTTAAAAGAATGTCATTACGCAAAGACAGAAACCACCCCACCCATCTACCCACCCACGCACCCACTCCCCACAACCCCAAATTCCCATTTGTGTTAAGGTTATGGCAAGCAAGAAATGGAAAGCTAGCAAAGCAGTTATATGGTTATCGTTGAATTGCAGTAATATATCAGTGTGATTATACAAACAACCACCTCAACCACCCACCCACCCCCCA